CTAGAAGAGCACTTTGTGGTGATTTTATGACACTGTGTTTCAGTAATTGCCATTTCAATTCCTTTTATGTTACTGCTAATGAGGTTGTTTTGCTATTTACTCTTAGCATTGCTGTTCTACGGTTGTTCTTTAGTTTTCCTAATGTTTTGCATGCCTCCGTAAAAAGAAAGATTACAAAACTATTAAATAAAAAGCATTCCTACTCAGCCTCTGAGGCCAGGGGTCAAACATACCAATCCAGCTTCTTATTAGGCAAAAGAAGAAAAGGAGGTTAGAATCGATGTATGTTTTCTCCCATTCCCCACTCAGCTTGTCTATCAGGACAGTTTTCACAAACAGCAAGTGAGATGACCCACTGTATGTATGCAGACCGTGCTCTAGTAGGCTTCAGTCCATGGCTGAATGCTATTCCAAATTATAACACAAATCGTGTGTATTAATAATTAGAAGTCAAGAGTTCTTTGTTTCCCTAGTATGGAAAGCTTTTAGTCATGCAAATCCACTCATGACCTAAACTGGTACAATAGTTTCACTTATTTATTGTTTCAGTTGCTGCTGTGAGAATTAGGATGAGAATTTTTAATTCAAACTGAACGCTTTCCACATCTGCTTTCTATTTTATACAAGGGAAATTTCATGATTTGTTTTCAGATTATTGGTTGATTGATTATCTGGTATCTGATAACCTTTTAATTCAACTGTATAGTACATCTCTTTTTTAAAGGGACAAGATCTATCAATTAGTGCCAAAATAGATTTGTTAATATAATGGCATTATAAATTATAGTTCAGGGCCAAGGTATGTATCTCAGTGTTTTCTTTCTTTCTTAAAAAATATACAGTTGGGGAGACTGATGGACTGGGACACCATCTCTGTGTTCCCCATATATCATGTTCCCATTTTCAGTGCAATTGTTCTTGCTTATCTTACTGAAAAAAAATAGGGAATAATTATGGTGGTAGTTGATTCTTATAAATGCAAAGGAAACAGAAAATGCAGAGAAAACAAATGTTGGTGTTTTGTGATTCTGGAGGTGGTGCCAGTAAGCACTGTTGGTGCAGTTGACAGGAATAGCTGTAACTCTGAAGATGAAGATGATACTTACCAGAGGTTGTTCTCTCTTTCTTTCTCTCCCCCCCGCCTCATTCTCTCTTTCACCCTGAAAATGAATTGGCAATTATAACTGGTACCAGGTGCTGCTATGTATAAACTTCAATATATTACATCCTCCATGCACTTCTGGATTACAAGTTCTTCAATGACTTGCCTGAGATTTGTTTTTACATCACTCCAATATATGAATATTTTTACTATAGTTAGCAGACATGCCATGCTGAAGTATTTGGGGAAAGGCACATTAGGGAGAGAGGGAGGGCAGGCAGAGCTCTTCAAGAATTTAACCTTCTTTCCCCCGGTCTGGAACTTCTCAGTGTAGGAAATTTGGATTTGCTGTTCTTCCCTCTCTTCAAGACATTCTACCGCTGTGCCCAGGTCATTCAGCACCTCATATCTGTTCTGTGTAAAGATTAGGTAGGTACTCACATCAGGAAGTAGGAAGCAGCCCATCCCCATTTGTTTCCCAGCCTTGTCAGCACAGTGCAAATGGGTCTGTGGGTTGATTCTAGCAATTTTCTTGTGGTCTTTTGTCCTTGTTGGTGTCAAGGTAAGTCAGTAGGAGCTGCTCCGATATGTAGGAAGGCAATTTGTGTCAGAACTGTTAGCACATACTAAAATTTACATGTTTTATGCACTGTCTGGTATATTTTACATAGGGTGACTTATGGTGTTAGTTTTATCCACACCTTATTCTCTATATTTCTATTTAGGTTTGGCTTGCTTATCATATATTTTTAATAGACTTTCCTCCTCCTCCTTCTCCTTCTTCCCTGTAATACTGACTGGGAGAATCCTCACTATCCTATGACTGCTTTTTTATGTCTGGCCCTTATTACAGTATATTATTTCCGTATCTTCTATACTCTTATTATTCTATGCTGGTCTTTGGCTGTAATAAAGTTTAAGTTAAGGTATCACATGATAGAGGACAAATCTGTCTGCACCAGGCACGGCCTCCTTAAGTCTGCTTCTGACCAGGTTCAACTGGTCGATTTCATGCATGGAATGAACTGGCACCGGAGTCATCTTGACCTTTGACAAGCAGTGAAGTAGCTTACTTGGGCCCTGGTTAGCACTGAAATGTGGCACTAGTTTTAAATCAGGAAAATGAGAAATTCTGTGCTGCCTTTGACATATAATGCTTTTTTGTGCCTGAGCTTAGCATATCTGGGGATGGGTGGCTTTCTCCTTAGAGGAGCCCTCCTGGGTTTTAATATCTCAGCAGGACATACTCTGCAGGGCTGAGTGTGAATGACAGGCAGAAGGAATGTTCACTTTGGTGTCCTGTTCTTAAAATAAGCCATAGCCAGGGGCCTTCAAATTGTTGTGGGCTTTTTTCTTTTGTGGTTTTTTTATCCTGCCTTTATTATTATTTTTTTATAAATAAGGCGGTGAACATACCTAATACTCCTTCCTCCTCCTATTTTCCCCACAATAACAGCCCTATGAGGTGAGTAGGGCTGAGAGAGAGTGACTGGCCCAAAATCACCCAACCAGCTTTCATGTGTAAGGTGGGACTAGAACTCACAGTCTCCCGGTTTCTAGCCTGGTGCCTTAACCACTAGACCAAACTGATTAGAAAAATGTTTTCTTGTTTTTCTTTTTTAAATATGGTGTTCTGACTTTTTAAAAATGTTGCGTTAAGGACCCTTAGTAGTTTTAACATATTTTACTAATAATATTATGATTCCACTGTTTAAGAGAACATGTGGTTTTTAGGAGTGTTAATAATTACAAATTTGTACTGAGGTTTCTTCTGCATGTAAACTGGTAAGTGGAGCTGGATTTTTTCCCCTTACAATA